TATTAGTAGTAGCAGTAGTACTACTACTACTACTGCGACTACCACTACGACTACTACTACTACTACTACTACTACTACGACTACTACTACTACGGCTACTGCTACTACTACTACTACTACTACTACTACGTCCTACTACTACTACCACCTACCACTACCACTACCACTACTACTACTACTACTACTACTACTACGACTACTACTACTACTACTACTACCACTACTACTACTACTACTACTACTACTACTACTACTACCACTACCACTACTACTACCACTACCACTACTACCACTACTACTACTACTACTACTACCTGTTACGATTACTACGATTACTACAATTACGACGAGAATTACTACTACTACTACTAATACGACTTCCACCACCACTACTAATATGACTAAAAGTACTACTATTACTACTGTGTGTACGACTACTACTACTACCACTACTACTACGACCATCCGTACCACTACTACTACTACTACTACTACTACTACTACTACGACTACTTCTACTATTACGGCTACTGCTATCATTACTATTACTACTATCTTTCCTACTACTATTTTCTATGCGACTTTTAATGTTAAGGCGACTATGCTCATTACCCGTGCTAGTAGTAGTAGTAGTACTACTACCACTACTACTATTACTACTACTACTACTACTACTACTACTACTACTACTACTACTACTACTACTACTACTTACTACTACTACTACTACTACTACTACTACTATTACTTCCTCTACTACTACGACTACTACTACTACTACGACTAATTTTAATTCTGCTACTACTACTACTACTACGAGTACTACCATTACTACTAATACTAATACTACTACTACGAGAACTACTACTACGACTACTCTTACTACTACTACTACTACTACTACTACCATTACTACTACCACTACTGTGATTACTGCGACGACGGCCACGACGACAACGATTCCTACCACTACTACTTCTACTACTACTACTGCTACTGCTACACCGGCTGCTACTGAGACTACCACTACTGCTACTGCTCTTCCTACTATTACGACTACTACCATCACTAACGCTACTAACAACTATTGCTTTTGCTAGTACTACGTTTACTACTCGTATTCGCATTCGTATTCGTATTAGTACGAGTACTAGTACTTGTACGACGAGTGCTGTTACTCTTACGACTACTACTAGTACTACTACTAGCAGTTGGAGCACGAGGGCTAGCACTACGTCCTGCCACGGGCTACCGCCACCGATTGCTACCTACTACAAACTGCAACTGCGACTCCTGCGACCACTACTACGGCTACGACGTATTACTGGTTTACCACTGCGGCGACGGCGGCGTTGACGACGAATACGACGACTTCTGCGACGACTACCACTATTAGTATTATCGTTACCACGACCCCCACTATTACTACTACGACTACTACTACTACTACTGCTACTACTACTACTACTACTACTACTACTACTATGTCTACTACTATTACTACTACTACTACTACTACTACCACTACCACCACTATTATTACTACTACTACTACTACCACCACTACTACTACGACTCCTACTACAACTATTACTGCTCATACGATTCCGAGTGCGGCTACTTCTACTACTATTGCTACTACTGCTACTACTACTTTTACACTACTATTATTCGTAGTAGTAATAGTACTACTACTATGACTGCGACTACCAGTCTTACTACTACCACTATTAATACCACCACCACTACTATTACCATTGTTACCACCACTACTACTACGACTACTACTACTACTACTACTACTACTACTACGACTCCTACTCCTACTACTACTACTACTACGACTACTACTACTACTACTACTACTACTACTACTACCACTACTACTACTACTACTACTACTACTACTACTACTACTACTACTACTACTACTACTACTACTACTACTACTACTACTACTACTACTACTACTACTACTACTACTACTACTACTACTACTACTACTACTACTACTACTACTACCACAACTACTCCTACTAGCATTTGTACCCGTACTACTGCTACGACGACTACTTCTACTGCTACTACCACTGCGACGACTACTGCTGCCACTGCTGTTGCTACTAGTACGACTGCTGCTACTACAACTACGACTTACTACTCATATTGTAATCTCGATTTCTACCAGTATTGCTACTATTATTGCGACTCTTATTTGTTCTACGACCACAACTGCCATTGCCACTGCCGCCGCCATCGAAATTATTAGTACTATTGCGACTGCTTCGACAGATGGGGGTTTGTGTTGTCAATATTTAACCGGCGGGAGTGCCACCCCTTCAGCTTTCCCCATCGGTTTTCAGCTAACAAAGGGCGCTTTCACACATTGCTTTCGTTGGCGGGCCAGCGTGGGCTGCAGCAGCACGCATCCAGCCGCGCGCTGGGCCACACAAGCGCGCAACGGACCACGCAACCATGCGGTCGCTCCCCCCCCTGCCAGGCGCCTGCGCCGCTTGGGCTCCAACGGGAGCTCAGCGGCGCGAGCGAGATCCACAGGAAGTCCGCGATCAAATTGATCGTCGCTTCGTCCCCGCCGCGAGGGGGACCCCGTCGCCGCCTACTCATCCTCTGCCTTCCGCTGCCTCCCTAATCCTCCTTCCCCGTCCTCTCCCCGCCTGCCTCCAGCCCCTTCACATCCACCATTCCTCTCCTCCTGCATGTCCTGTTCCCTCTCCTCCTCCTCCTTTTTCCACTTTTGTTACCACCTTGCCTCCTCCTCCTCCTCTTTACCTCCTCCTCGTCCTCTTCCTCCTCGTCCTTCCATATTGAGCTCGAACAACGGGTGGCGCGATCAGCTTTGCGTTAGCGAATAAGTTGGGCAGCGTGTCGTATTGGACCCAAGAAATGTGGTGTTGCACTATCGATGTGCACCATGTGTGATGCAATCTGCGTGTCGTGCTAAACGTGCGGAGCAAATTGTGTGTTGCAGCCCACGAGGTGGACCTTAGGTCGTGTAGTATGTTTGCGGTGCAGCATCTGAGGCGCAATATATGGGCACCTAGCTGCGTAGCGCAACCTACAGGGTGCAAGTTATTACATGCTGGCTTTCGCACAAACAGTGGGTTGATCCATTGTGGGCATATGTGCTATGCGATGCAAGCTATGTGGTGCAAGCCGTTCCGTGTAAGCCAAGTTGTGAAATCGATGGATGTGAACGCCTACGTGGTGCGAGCTATATGGTATCAGCGATGTTGTATAATCAATGTGGTGCGAATTGGATGGGAACTCCACGCGGTACAAGCTTCGATGTTGACGCTATGCGGCGTAAGCTATGTGGTGTGCATGTTGTCGACTACGTTGTGCTACATCTGTCGTGTAAGCTCCGCGCGCGGGGCGCCCACGAGGCGGCAAGGTAGTGGCACCTGCTCGGCTGTCGGGGCGCCCACGAGCGCCCACGAAGCGGCACGGGCGGCAACGCGGGGCAACCGCGGTGGACCCGTCAGCGCACGATGCGCCCACGAGCGACCATAGGGCGGCCCAGGGCAACAATGTTGAAGTCTTTGGCGAGCACGCCCAATTTCTCAAGGAAGAGACATACGAACCCCAAGCAGTGCTTTCGCTTAACGGCTTGGGGAATGCTTTTCGCTTCTCAATTTCTCAAGGAAGAGACACTGATTGGGGAATGCGCGTGTGTACGTTCCCCAAGCAGTGCTTTCGCTTAACGGCTTTTACTTGTGGTCTAAGGAATTGGGCCTGGCCGTCGGTCCGGCCCGGCGGCAATGTCGTCGCCGTCGCCGCCTCGTCGCCGCCCTTCATCTGGGCTTGGGTGTCTGGCGGCTATGTCGTCATCGTCGCCGCCACTTCGCTGTATCGTCGCCGCCCGTCGTCTGGGCCTGGGCGTCGGTGTTGCGACTATGCCGTCGCCGTCGCCGCCTCGTCGCCGCAACATGGTCTGCACCACATCGAGTTTTTCTATTCTCAGGAATATTCAGGATTTACCACCACCACCCCCAGTGTTATCGGCCCTCTGGGATAGTACGATGTACATATGATTCTGCCCCATCGTTCACTGTAGATATGAACTCATAGCGTCCGAGCCGAGCGGGTATCGAATCCCCTTCTCATTGTATTCAAAGGATCTTATGTGCGCGCGTTCGTTAATCAAGAACCAGCAATTTCAAACATTGTTTGCAAAGAATTAGACAAAGTCCACACGCGCGCGTCGTCCCGCGCGCATGCCAGAATTGCTCGAAAATCTTGGCTCCCGCAGGGATGTCACGATCGACGTTCCCGAACACATGTACAACACATTGTTTTGCACCGAGATGCTCCAAACAAGTCTGAGCACGCGCCCTTGCGAATTCTTACGGGAACCAGGGCTTCCAACATGTTCATCAAAAGCGACCAGGCGGGCCTCTCTCTCGCGCATGCCGAAACCGTTACAACGCCTTTGCGCGCTTGTTGGGCGGTGGGGGGCGATGTTGTCAAATCTCACTATGCAGGCCACTCGCGCCCGTCGGCCGCGTGCGCTTGTCGAAATCTTTTGAATGTTTTCATTGCCGGCACGTGACACCGTCGTCGTCATCGGCGTGATCAACGTCAGCGCCGTCATTGGCCTTGCCTTCGGCATCGAGGCCGTTGTCACCAGCATCACTGCTATCATCATCGTGTCTGTCGTTGTCGACGTCGCCGTGATACCGTGCCCACACGAATCACCGACTCGCCATTGTACTCCCGCGCGTCGGCCTGCGAGACGCGCTGGGAAGTCCCCAGCGGCTAGCGCCACGGCGGGCGCGTCGGTCGCGCTAGACTAGGTGGCCGCTGTGCGCGCGAGCCTGCGCGCGCTAGCGCGGCCGCAGCGCGTTGCGCCAGCCAGCGCCGAGCAGTCATTCTAATCGCCGCCGCTTAGGTTATGCGAACCAAGTTGCCGGTGGGTGGGTTGGAAGATTGCGTGAGTTGTGGAGTTGACAGCGTCACGTTCGGCAGGGCGGATTGCAGCACATAGATTGTACACATATGTATATATATACATAAATATATATATGTGTATATCTATATATATGTATATACATATATACATATATATACATGTATATGTGCTGCGCCATGTAGGCTGCACAACTTAGGGTGCTCACCATCAAGGATAGACACTGTTTGGGGTCCACGCTTGCGAACCACTACTTGCATTCAAGGGGCAAGCGCCATGCCTCCGAACCCGAGCAGAGGGATGACGTGCACGGGTGAGGCATGTTAGGCCGTATTGGGGGCCTTCTGTGGGTTCCTGGTGGCTTCGATTGGCCTCTTGAGGGCCCCCTGGGAGCCTGTTGGGGTTTCTTCTGGCCTCTTGGGAGTTTCTTGGGTGCTTGGTGGCCATCTCGGGGGTCCTCGTGGGGCGGACGGCTCGGAAAATCAGTTCGAGTTGCTTCTCTTGGGCCTTGGGGCCCTGTTGAGGCTCTCTGGGGCCATTTTGGGCGCCTCTTGGGGCCATGCCATCTTCGGCAGTCATGGGGCCCTTTCGGGGGCTTCGTGCGGCCGACTTTTGAGCCGTCTTGGACGTTGTTGAGGCCAAGACTGCGAACATGTTCAGATGATCATTGTCCCTAAGGGTTTGGACGATTATTGTTTCTTGGGGCCCTCCCAGGGGTCGTCTTGGAGCTCTCTTGGGGCGTCTCGCTAACGTTCATCGAAAACGCCTACGGCGAATCACCGCCGCCCCCTGCCTTTTTGGAAGCGCCATGTGGCCGAACGTTAAGGCCAGACCTGCCAAGCTATCGGACCATGTGTTCCCCGAATCGGTTTGGAAAGCCTTCGGCTTGAAGGTCATCTTGGCCGTCTGGAGGCCATTTTGACACTTTCGGGCCTTTTTGGAAGACGTCTTGGAGGGCTCTAGGGCCGCCTTGAAAGCCATCTTCAGCGTCGTGGAGGCTTCTTGGGCCGTCTTGGGGGCCTCTTGGGGCCGTATTGGGCCTCTTGGGCTATCTTTGGGGGCATTCGGGCCGTCGGAAGGCTGCACAAAAAGCAAATGCCACGATCCTTCAAACACCCATGGGGAATCAAGGATTTGGGCATGTTTCAGGCATCTTGGAGGCCTCTTGGGCCGTCTTGGGCCATCTTAGGGCCATCTTCGGCCGTCTTGGTGGGCTCCTGGCCCGTCTGACGCCGTCGGAAGCCGTTTGGGAGGCCTCTCTGGGCAGTTTTGGGGCCCTCTTGCGATGCTCCAGGGCCGTCTTGGAGGCTTTCTTGGGCGTCTTACAGGCCTCCTGGGCCGTCTTGGAGGTCTCTTGGGGCCGTCTTGGGGGCTTCTTGGGCCGTTCTGGGGCAATATTGCATGCCTCTTGGGCGCTCTGTGGGCGATCTTTGCGGGCTCTTGGGCCGTCTCGGGCCGTCGGACGGCCGAAAAGAAGCAAATATCGACATCCTTGAAACACCATAAGGAAATCAATGTGTTTGGCATTTTCTGGCCTTCCTGGGGGCCCTCTTGGAGGCCCCTTGGACCGTCTTGAGCCAGCTTCGAGCCAACTTCGGCCATCCTGGTGGGCTCCTGGCCCGTCTGACGCCGTCGGAAGCCGTTTGGGGGGCCTCTCTGGGCCGACTGGGGGTCCTCTTGGGGTGACCCAGGGCCGTCGTAGAGGCCATCCTGGGCGTCTTGGAGGCCTCTTGGGTCGTCTTCTTGCCCTCTTGGGGCGGTCTTGGGGGCGTCTTGGGCCGTCATGGGCCCATCTTGGAGGCCGCTTGGGCAATCTTGGGGCGATCTTGGGAGCCTCTTGGGCCGTCGGAAAGCCGAAAAGGCGCAAATGCCAACATCCTTCAAACACCTAAGGGAATCAATGAGTTTGGCCTCGTCGGGCCTTCCTGGACGTCGTGGAGGCCGTCTTGGAGACCTCTTGCGGGCCTTTTGGGCCGTCGTAGACCATCTTGAGCCCATCTTGGGCCGTCTTGGGTGCATCTTGGAGCCTTTTTGGACCATCTTAGAGGCCACCTTGGGCCGTCTTGGACCATCTTGGAGGCCATCTTGGGCCAACGTGGCCATCTTGAAGGTCATCTTGAACCATCTTGGAGGATTTTGCTGTCTGGATTGAGCTCCTTCATATTCTTTCCGGGTGGCGGGCGGGACGGGCCGAAGTCCCAGGGGGAGTTCTTTGGGAACAGGGACCACAACCAAACGCGATATCGTTCGGCACGCCAGGCACACCTTTGATAAATCAAAAGGGGGCGGCGGATCTTATCGCTTTCGGCTCATCCCGCCACCGCGCCTGGGTTGTGCAGGATATGCAGCTTATGTGATGCTCCTTGGGATCTCGTGGGGGGGCCCTTCGGGGGCATCTTGGAGGCAGTTTCGAAGCCAGTTGTGGGCCGTTTGGGTGCCTCTCGGGGCCTCTTGGGGGCCTCTCGGGGTCCTCTCGGGGCATTTTGGGCGCCTCTTGGAGCATTCTGGGGGCCTCTGAAAGGTCGAGTTTTCGGTACGTGTTCTCCCTCGTGAGCCCCATTTCGGGTTGTCGT